AGTTAACGCGTAGAAAAAGACAATATTTATAAATGTAAAACACAATAGGAAAACTGTATAATTAGCCTACGAGTTTCATCCAATGTGTACTTTTTCAAGGCAAATATTATCCAAATATTAATCTACGCCCAGTCATTTTTCCTTATTTCAACCTTTCTTAACAAAATTACTACTTTCCCAAGTAAACGTACAGAACAGTATCAAGAAATCAAAAGAAAATAGCTGAATCCATAAGCATAACAATAAAAACAATATTTCCACATTTGACAGTACTTGACGTAATTTTCAGTTGACAATATGAATATAATAACGTTTTCTAAATTCGTCCAGTTGCTAAGGACATTTAGTTTTGTTATTATTAGTTACTTCGTTTTTAATAAATTCATTTCGTTTTTGTCTAGAAAAAGTCCACATTGAACAAAACGCGCTAATATTACAGTTTTTCTATTGTCTTTTACATTTATAAATATATATGTATATGTTTTCTTACACACACACACACACACACACACACACACACACACACATATATATATATATATATATATATACACACACACACACACACACATATATATATATATATATATATATATATATATATATATATATATATATATATCAAACGTTAAAATCTGTTTTTATCTAAATTGCTAAAGCTCTACCACTCCTCTTCTTCCTTCGAAAACCCTAAGTACATCTCTTTTCTCTTTACTTCCTCCTTTTTTGTTTTCCTTTTTTTATCCTTTTCCTTTTCCCATATCATTTCCCTTGAGTTGACCGATTAAATAGGTCAATGTCTGATCCTTACCCCCTCCTTCCTCAATATTATGTATTATAATAAAAAGAAATCTAAAAATAAACCTTAAAACTCTCCCTTCCCTCTCTAAACTCAACCATGTCTCTCATACCATCTCTTACTACCTTCTATGTCAACTTATATAAGCTTAATGCTGCCCGTCAAAATTGCAAATTTTAATTTCATTTTTTGTTTCACCTTTGAAAGTGAAGTCTGACGATCCAGAGGAAAATGAAATTCTCTGGTGAAATAAATTATTGCAACGGAGCCTAATTAAATCATATATATATATATATATATATATATATATATATATATATATATATATATATAGAGAGAGAGAGAGAGAGAGAGAGAGGGGAGAGAGAGGATTTATACAAATATAAATTGATCTTTACTAGATAGACGCTATATTCAACACCTGAAAACAGAACTTTCGTAGACAGAAGTCTTTTTGTAATTATTCAGTTTACTCTTCAGGATGTCTGTCTATTATATTGAACTTCAGACTTTAATTTTGCCTTTTAAGGAAGACACACTTGCTCACCAAGAAAATGGAAAATAGATCCCTGCTGAACTATGACGTTCTTCAGAGCACGCCAGAGCAAATGGTGGTTTCACGTACAAAGGAGGACACAAGTTCGATCCCTACCGGAGAGCAGATATTCGTTATTAAGATTTCCCGAAGGCGCAGACCGACAGAGGTAATAAAGTAAAAAAGATAAATATGGAATGTTTTGTGATGTGAACGAACACTCTTTGCCACTTTTGTAATGTCAACGAATACTCGTTGTCACTTTCGTAATGCGCGTTGTAGTAGAGACTTTGTAATCGCAGATACAACTATATTAACGCCGTTGAACAATCTTGGTGTCAGACGCCTTCGAATATCACTCGCACTAATAGTATTTACTCGATAATCCTCGCTCGACAAGTAACCACTGCATTGATCCGAATAGAGAATAGTGTAGAGAAATGAAGAGAGAATACCGATCTGTATAGTAATAGAGGATAGACTAGAAATGGTGATTTGAATAGTAATAGAGGATATACTAGAAATGGTGATCTGTATAGTAATAGAGGATAGACTCGAAATGGTGATCTGTATAGTAATAGAGGATAGACTAGAAATGGTGATGTGAATTGTAATAGAGGATAGACTAGAAATGGTGATCTGAATAGTAATAGAGGATAGACTAGAAATGGTGATCTGAATAGTAATAGAGGATCGACTAGAAATGGTGATCTGTATAGTAATAGAGGATCGACTAGAAATGGTGATCTGTATAGTAATAGAGGATAGACTAGAAATGTTGATCTGAATAGTAATAGAGGATAGACTAGAAATGTTGATCTGAATAGTAATAGAGGATAGACTAGAAATGTTGATCTGAATAGCAATAGAGGATAGACTAGAAATGGTGATCTGAATAGTAATAGAGGATAGACTAGAAATAGTGATCCGAATAGTAATAGAGGATAGAATAGGAATGACGATCCTACATATATGCATTTCCTCTATGGTCACGTGGTCTACTAAATTTAATAATGAGATTGCCTGTGTTTGCTCACTGGCGACCCCTATGTACAAACATAAGTTTCGGCAGCGACACGTTATTCCTATATAACAGAATGTTTATTTAAAATATATAAATAATGTAACCCTCTATCTCGAGTGGCTCTTAGACACTGTACAGGATGTATATCCTTGTAAAATCAAAAGAAAGATTTCAGCGATAGGTGTGTCTGACTTTCTTCGTGCGCATGCGTGTATGCTATATTAGCATACCCAGGCTTTCGAATATAGCCATTATTAGAAGATTTTCACACATGACTGATTAATTATATTTGACTAGAGTTGCTATTGCTGTACGCTGGTCGTTCACTGAGCCATCCCTTTATTCGTCCTGATTTTGCAAAACAAAGATTTTGAGGATTAATACACAAATATACTGTATAGAAATCAAATTGATGTATTATGGAGCCCGATTACCTAATGGTTACATTACTGCTATTATGTTATTTCTCATCTGAATACACACAGCTTCGACTGCTAAGAGTCGAAATGATTAATCAGTGTCAGCTACCAAACGGGCATTTCCCATCTGTTCGAAAATAGTAATGTGGGCGCTTTTTCGTGGAACTGTGACCTTCTTACAATTTTGATTTTGACTTTGAGAATATTGTGGGTTCTATGGCAGGCTCATTGCGAACACAAAAACTGTATTTTGTTATCAAAAAAAGACTAGCGTTTACTTTTGTTTGAACAAAAGCGAAATGGTTGCATTTCCCCGAGCGAAATTGTAATTCTGAGCAAAACTGCTGATTGTATATATTGCGCATTTCGTTTTGTATGCTATTGTTCACCCAATACAAGGACCAAGAACCACTCAAGGTAGAGAGTTACTGAATGAGGTTGTTTCAATGGTAGAGGAGGAATAAGAACTGTAGCTGAGGATGAAATTAGAATTGCAACGGAGTGGAAAGTAAGAATTTCAACAGAGGAGGATGTAAGATTTTTAGCAGAGGAGGAGATAAGAATTGGAGAGGTGGAGGAAGAAGTACCAGTTGCAGAGTAGAAGGAAGTATAAATTGCAACAGAGGACAATGTAAGAATTGTAGCAGAGAAGTAGACAATATTTGCAGAAGTGGAGTAAGAAGAATTGCAACAAAGAAGGATGTAAGAATTGTAGCAGAGGAGGAGATAATAATTGGTGAGGTGGAGGAAGAAGTAAGAATTGCAATATAGAAGAAAATATGAATTGCAGCGTCAGAGGGAGTAAGAATTGCCACAGAGGAGGATTTAAGAATTGTAGCAGCAGAGAAGGTATGTATTGTTGGTCATTTTCCTAAAAATATATATTGTTGGTCATTTTACTATTAATATGTATTGTTGGTCATTTTAGTATAAATATATATTTTTGGTCATTTTACTCTAAATATATATTGTTGGTCATTTTAATATAAATATATATTGTTGGTCATTTTCCTATAAATATATATTGTTGGTCATTTTAATATAAATATATATTGTTGGTCATTTTCCTTTAAATATATATTATTGGTCATATTAATAGAAATATATATTGTTGGTCATTTTCCTTTAAATATATAATGTTGGTCATTTTCCTATAAATATATATTGTTGGTCATTTTCCTTTAAATATATATTGTTGGTCATTTTAATATAAATATATATTGTTGGTCATTTTCCTTTAAATATATATTGTTGGTCATTTTAATATAAATATATATTGTTAGTCATTTTACTATAAATATATATTGTTGGTCATTTTCCTATAAATATATATTTTTGGTCATTTTAATATAAATATATATTGTTGGTCATTTTTTATAAATATATATTGTTGGTTATTCTGTTATATAAAAATGTATTGCCGGTAAATTTTATATTTTCATAGGGATTTCTTTTCGTTCGGGGGCGTTCATTATTTATCCATTGCTGGGGCTCTAACAGGTAAAACCATCGCAGGTCACGGTGGATTTAAAAGCAACGGTAAATAAAATATGATTCCACACTCCTCGGAACCTCAAATCACCCGATCAAAGATTGATGAATGTAGTTTGTCGTCATACCAAGTATTAATGAAATGGCTGTTAGTGCGGGAAATAATCCATCACCCAAAAGGCCACTTAAACGCTGTCGGATCTAGAAAGCTCATATATGGAAGCAATACTACATATTTGGCTTTCATCTTCTTTCCTCTTGTAACGATAGAGCATGGGAGGAGTAGTCAGGTATTTTCTGGACCGATACAAGGACCCGAACATTTTCCCAGCCTTTTGAAGATGAATCATCTACGTGTTTCCAATACGAGCTTGAGTCCCAATAGACACTCAAGACAAGAGGCTAATTTGAGAGTGAAGACATTCATCCTGATTGGGGAAAATCTAGGAGGTTAATCGTGGTAATTAAATGTCATTAGCTTGGTTTAAATATTAAAAACCTCTTCCAACGCATTGAGATGTTATTGCTAACTCGGATTAGAGATCATTAGCCAGGCTGTCGATTCTGAGGGGTGCGCATATATACTGTGGTATCCTCATATATATAATCCCTAGTTGACGGAGATAGACTTAAGTAAATTGTTTATATAAAACAGAAAATTGGGAGAACTTGGAAAATGCATCGTGAGACAGGTTAGTTCTATCCTACCGATCGGCACATGTGTTACGTCGGATGTGGCCACGGCTATCCCGTCCAATAGGAGAGGAAACGCGGGATCGAAGCAGAGGTTCGCGTGCTCGCCCGCCAAGTCTCTAAGCCGGAACCACGACCGGTGCCGTCACTGTATTACGAAAGGCGCCTCTTTTCGTTCCGCTGGAGCCTGCCATAGCGGGCGTCGTCGTCACTAGGGGCGGCCGCGGTCGTCGTGGTCCGCGTCGGTGGCGCTCGTCGTCGCCGTTCGCGTGCACTTCGGCTGCTGTCGCTTCGCACGCGGTGGCGTCCGCAAACGGGCCACCCGATTCGATATCCACAACAAGCGGGACTTTGCCGTCGCTGTCTTATTTCGAATTCCCGTAGAGCGTGAGATGAGGGATCGCTCGTAGACCACTTGACTTCAGGCTCTGTGTGTTCACACTGCGACCTATGGAGACTGAAGCCCTCGACCTACATTGGTCTCACGGACTCCAGAGGATTGAACAACGAACAATCTATCTATCTATCTATCTATCTATCTATCTATCTATCTATCTATCCCATACTGTTCATACTTATCTAACTATCTGTCACACTCCATTTCGTTCTTTCAGGCATGATTCGATGATTGGTTACTTTTTTATCTATCTATCTATCTATCTATCTATCTATCTATCTATCTATCTATCTATCACAATTTGTTCATACTTATCTGTTATTGCAATCTGTTCATCTCTCTCTCTCTCTCTATATATATATATATATATATATTTTTATATATATATATATATATATGTATATATATATATTTATAAATGAACATTGAAGTCAACACTCAGAGGCGACAGGCTGTTTTATGATAGATGCAATCGTTAGGCCTGACTATTGCGTCTAGCATAAAACTGGGAGAAGGAACTTGATAATTGAGTAAACTCTTAGAGAGAGAGAGAGAGAGAGAGAGAGAGAGGGGGGGTAGCATCCGACGATACGATACCTTGTAAAATTCTTTACGCTCTGGTGATGAATTTATTATCGAACGCTTCACTGATTCTATGTGTAATTACAATCAAAACATCAGCATTGGACATAGACGATCATGGCTCTCCATAATTGCCTGTCCTTTATTATTTACTGAAGGTCATTAAGTATATGTTGTGGGTTCTTTTTCTCTGTCGCTCTTGCCCTCAATCTGTCAACACTGTGAAACACGATTTTTGTCCTCGCGCACTAAGTATTATTTCTTATTTTTTTATGCCTAGAAAATATGAAAAAATACCTAATATTTCCTTCAAACTTTACTTTTGTGATCAAGATAATGATATTTTTGAAATTAACCTACTCCACTGGGAAAACTGGTGAATGTGGACATTCCCGTTTACGCAATGTAAGAAAAAACAAAACAAAAAAAACAGAAAAACAAAAAAAAAACGACACCTAATTCAAAAGCAGCATTTATTTTTTTCTAGGTTTACAAAAGCGTTACCAGGAAAAAAAAATTAGATGTCTGTAGTTTTTCTCGATTTACAATTATGTTGCAAATCACTAATCAACCCCTAAATATTGTCTCCCATCATGTTTTCGTTATATGATCCTTGGTAGCCAGAACATTCTAGAAATTATTGAAACTTTTAGAAACTTCTCCAAAGTTCTTGAAACTTCTAGAAAGTCTTATAAAATTCTCCTTCAGCAAATCAGCGCTGAATCTGTCTGCAAATGTGTTTCAAAACATCGATGTTCAGGTCACAAAAGCAACTTTTGAAGGGAATAATGATCATTTCTTTTCCTTCTAGAGAGAAGCAATAAGGAAATCAAAGATCAAAGACGAAAACATGTCAACATTTTGTTACACAGAGTAATATACACAAAAAGTCTATTTGTAGATTATACTAATGAGTCTTATGGAGCTATATTTTGATGTGTGATCATTCGCAAAAACAGCGCATGCGCTGACACAGTTCTTCCCTTGA